GCTTAACTTAAAAAGGACCTGTTCACTCTTAAAGTATCCTCCGAATGCTCTCTTCAGCTGCCGGTGTTTCCTATGTTTTTTTGGCTGACATTATAGTACAGCGCCACTTTAAAACGGTCGAGCAATTGGCTGATCGCATCCTAAGTGAGGTTGCTCACCCTCTTCACTCTGAACTAATGGCTGCGAAGTCTTCCCGTACAATGCGCCGAGGCTTCCGTCATATGCCTTGCCCTAAATCGGCATATCAGCACTCTGTTCTCCCATTCCTAGCATGCTACCTCACGTGTGACGAAGCGGAAATAGAGAAGGTGAAAACTGACCTGTCTCCATAGTAGATGTGGATATTGTGTACAGTTTTAATTTTAATTATTAAATGACCTTTTACCTTTGACCTTTTCCATGACCCCTTATTTATCTTCCTTAATATAGCATTCTTCTCTCTCTCATCTATGCAGTCTTAGTGTATCGCGCGTGGTCGATTTTGTGTACCCTGGGAGGTACGTAGACCGGCGTACACTAATTTCTGCGGGGGCGAATATTCGATCTGTTGGGAGAGAGAATATAAGACCACAAGGCACCGTAAAACCTCGGTCAAGTTAAATGCGCGTTGCCCAGCTGATAGAGGAAATGGTGAAAACCTTTCCTAACGTACATATAGTTCGAAGAAAAAAAAGTCCTTTGAAAATTCAACAAACTTGATGATGGTTCACCCGACCGCTTACAGAACGTATCTGCCCCCCTCTGCCTTGGGCATCACCAAAGATCCTGACAATTTTTACAGCTGGTAGAGTAGGCGGATAGTATAACCGGTAAAGACACGGTAGACTGGAATGGCTATTTCTGGCTTATTAGCCATCGTCAGTCAGTCATAACCAGACCCAATTGGTGTCCCAACCAAGCATCCACCTCGTAACCTTTTTACTCGGAGTCAAACGCTGTAACCATTGAGCCACTAGCTCTTTGTCTTGCTGGGTTAGGTCGGGGAATAGTGACACTCATTAGTGAACGTTCATCCGACCGCTAAAATACTCATCTGTTCCGGTAATATTATCTGCGTTAGCTTTCGTTGTCAGGCGCGTGGTAGGGAATGCAAAGCAGTAATTCTAGATTACCTGAGCAGCCAGTCAACCGAGCCTGAAAACACTGCTCCCAGAGCAAGGACTATCACACAGGTCTTATTTCTTCGTTCAAAAGTGTTTATTACAAAGGCTACCCCCCAGAGACTGTTTACTTAGATACTTGAGACAACAGGAATCCAAAAGAGAAAACGAGGAATTAACTTGTTCTAATTAGGCACCTGAACCAAAAAACTGGCGAACACTTCCACATATTAAAAATGTTTACGAACTCCTTGAAACGCATTGGAGAAAGTACCTGACACGCAAGCAGATGATTACACTACGTGCCTAGAATTTGGATAATAAGGATAGGGTTGGCTATTTAGCTACAAATAATTCGTCTAAAATATTTAATGCAGCACCTATTGTGATCAGACTGTAAGATAATCCTCCCCTTCAGCGTATAAGTGTACATCAATTGACATCCTATTTCATGTCGCTATGCGTACGCTGGAAAAGGGACGCCAATTTGCCGGATGTAAAATGTGCATTACTGATGTTTGCCCATGTAAGAAATGCCGAGAATTTCTAGAGGCCACTCACGCTGATGATTTATGCACGCCGACTTAGACACCACGCACACTACTTTCAACAAAAAAATGGATAAAAAGTCAGAAGACAATTTTCGCCATATTGTTTCAAGTTATATTTAACGTTTACGGTTGCAAAAATTCCCATCACAGAAATCCGGAGAGCAATTGACGAGCACACGTATATAGACCTGCAAACAACTGTCATGACGAAATTTTACTTGGTAGTTTAGCATAAATCTGGACAGGTTATTTTGATCAACTGAGTGGATTTGATAATAAGAAAGCTTTGGTTTGGAAAACAGCCCTCTTAGTTAAAGTTATTGGGGGAATAGGTACTCATTTGGACTAAATCATGAGTAAGTTTAAATTAAAGAAATTTCCTGTGCTATAATGTATGACAGAACCAAACCTTTTACTAATA